ATATCGTCAGCACCGCCGAACAAGTGCTGGCCGAAGATACAGATAGTGTCTTGCTCTCGCCATTTTCCGCCCACGAAAACAGCCTTGCCTCTCCACTCGTGCACTCCCCGCTTGACCATCCCCGTTTTCTCCATCACCCGCAAGCTTGGCCAGTTCTCGTGGTTTACAATCGCTCTGACGTAGAGCTTTGTGAACGGCAGCCAAAAGGATCGGGCTCGTCGGCATCCTTCAAACACAGCGTTGATCGACTCGGTTGCGTACCCTTTACCCCATCCGGCCGGAAGATACGAATAGGCAACTTCGGCGGTCAGAGTCGTTTCTGCTTCTGTTGCTGGTATGGTAAGACTCTCTGGCAGCGGGAGGCTAGTGGAATCAAGTGAGCTGATTGTGATAATGCCGATGAACTCGGAGGGCTCATCGATTCGATGAACAGTGTAGACGGCTCGGTAGCCCCCTCTTGCTTCTTCATCTGCCGGCAGGTATTTGCTGATGAGTTTCTCGGTTTTTTCTATTGAGTCTGACGGTCCTCCGAGCCTAGATGAATATCAGTATCAATTACATACAAATCAAGTTGCAGGCAGTGCTGACATCCAGAACATCGACTTCTCGTTGCTGTGGAGTCGGTGAAGCCATTCAAATTCTGGGCTCTCCCTCTCGACTTTCGTCAGCAGAATCAGCTTCAACCGTGGTGTGGATATGATGGAATCCATTCTCGCCTCGTCAGTTTTCTCGATTTTCCTTGCGCGAAGATATTGAGGTTTCGGAGTGTATCAGGCCACTGCTTTCAAGTCCAACGCTTTCGGTGATTAGTCAAACACGGTAACAATACGCTCGGCGGGTCCCCATTCCCTGGTTAATCCGAAAACAACTTCGCTGGTATTGATTTTAGGATAGAAACATGATTATTATCTAAGGATTAATACCTTGGAAGAGATACAGATTTATCAGTATGAGCGAAAAGTTGTACAGGATACTAGTTATTTATATAACTCTAGTATCATCATCAACAATGCTCCACAGTCCATCGGAGGTATTCGTGATCCTACCTACGGAGAATCATTGTCAGCATAGCCTGGAAATGGTCAGCCTCACTAAAACACGGAGTAATTCTCTTCCATGCTAGGCTGTCTCCCAAAGTTCAGTGTCATCGGAATGCCCAAATTATTGACAAGCTTGGCCCAAGAAGAGCGCATGCGGGCCGCCAGGGACCCCCACGGCTTAGCCCCTGACTGCCAGGAGATCCAAGGATTGTTGTTTCATGCAAGGAGGTGTGAAAACCTAATAACCTGTCTCCTGGCGATCTTTGGTTATTTTATCAACGTCTGTATTCCGTGACTACAAGGCTACGGAGTACCTTAATCGTCTCAAGCGCATCGATCACCTTTACAGGCGTGGGTAACAGTCTGGACAGGTGGATGCTTGTGCTTTTATCTGGTCAATCTCTGAATAACTACATACTGTGGGGCATTTAGCATCTGGAGCCTGTTGATTAATCCTGCATGATGGATCCGTTAGTTAACGCTTCCAAAAGTACATGCCGAGTTCTACTCATGATCATAGCTCAGCTATAAACATGACTTGCCAATGCTAAGATAAGAAAATCGAGGTGCCTCGAAAACACTCTGCCGTCTTGACAGGCTTTTATAGTCCCAAAAAGGGTAAGTAGTTCACCATCCAAATCCAACAGTAATGAACCCTCCTTGCTGCTAAAGGTTTTGCAGTGGTGAGCGAGAGTCAGGCCATATGTCCATACCGGATACGATGATTGACTGTTCCGTCTTATTTGACTTTCCTTCGTTAGATATTTAGTCATATTTGTTTTGCTTAAAGAATGCCTATCCTCATAATGCATTCCATTTCTTCCTACTGCATGCTGCATCCGCTTCTCGCCCGGGCTGGATGTTTGTTTAGAGAATCAGTTGACATATCAAATAGAGGTACGCCGCTCAAACTAGCCTGCCTCAGAATATCAAGAAAATTTATTTGTGTGGCTGACGACGACATAGCCCGTAAATGTGATAGGATTCCCAAAATATCATTGTCACCCATTGCTCATAACAAATCTCTGTGGTAAAATATGTACTAAGCAAGGAAAACCTCCAAGAAACACGGCAGAGAATTTAAAGAGGCACTACGCATGTCTCTCGTTCTAGACGGAGATTGCAACGCAATTTCACCGGGCTGGCCGGTATTTTTGCCAGGGAATAACTAATGGATATACTCCGTAAAGGAACCGGGGTAGCAACAGTAACAGCAGTAGCGTAGGTAGGGTACATGTGTTCTGTTTGATATTTTCAATGCACCGGGCTGCTGTCCGCGAGACAAGAAGTATACCCCCATCTTTTAGCCCACTGCAGGAAGACAGGTGAGCGCTGGTATCCAATGAATAGTCAGCAAATAGCAAATTACCCAGCTTAACACTAACAAGAGCAAGGCTGTGACGTAGAGCAGCCAGGATATTGTGCATGTGCAAAGACGATAACGACTTTGCTGATTTCAAATAGCCCTAGACTTGCGGGCAATCGCTTGCGCCCTTGAATGGTTCAGAATATATCACAGGTACATATCGCCAAAGAATATGTATGAAGAGCAACTCCCCCGCCAAAAAATGCATATTCGGTTATTTGGTCCCATGACTGTCACGGAATCCTCCCTCATGGAGGACGGTCAGATCCGTAGACTGTAAAAAGCAAAGAATGGAGGAAGGAGGAGAGGAGCAAAGGAAAAGCAATAGAGGTGAAGAGAGGGGGAGGGGGTAGAGTAAAGGTCTAGAACCTGAGGACATAGCAATGTTAAATAGTTGAAGGATATCTTAGGATGCCTACTCCGTACGCAGTACAATGAAAAAGGTTAATGTAGGGGGAAAATAGCAATTCATTATTCGAATAGGTGATAATTGGGTAGCTCTCACTAGTCCAAATCTCTGCCTCCCAGCCGGTGCGCCGATCGCTTCAAATCTGATATGTGAAGAAGAAAAAAAGCTATGAAAAGGAAAGCGAGGATTGGGGAACCGGGAAAAGGCGGGAGGATTAAAATCGATAGGTCCGATGAGATCGCTTGCATCAAAAAGACGAGAAAAAGAAAAGAAGACCGGAGAGAAAATAAAGAAATAACGGTTCTGGCTGCATGGCGCCGTGTGGCGTGACGTCTAGAGGTGCTTATTGTTCTGGATAGTTCTGTTTGGGGGTTCTTTGCAAAAAAAAATTGTTTGGTTATTCCGCATACTCGTCCAATTTCTGTAAGACGATTGAGTTGACCCGTCTCTGTACCTCGGCAGGCGAGGCGGCGCAATCTACCGAGAGCGTATCCCATTCGGAATCAGGCTCCTCCAGCATTTCAAACTGAGAATGGACCATGGTAGATTTCATGTAGTGACCTTTGCGTTGCCTGACTCGCTGGAGCAGCACCTCTTCGGGAGCACGAAGGTAAATGAAATGGATTTTTATAGTGGGATGGCCATAAGCGGCAACACGGATGACGTCGCGGTATTTATGCTTAAGCGCAGAACAGGTTGCAACAACGCCCGGCGGACAAGTCCGGGGATATGCACCCGAGGAGGGAGACGGAGTAGTCAAAGCGCTAATCGCAGCTTCACGAAGTTGAATCAACCAGTCCCATCTGTCGGCATCATCAAGCGGGATGCTATTGGTCATTTTCTCCTTGTTAGACTTGGAGTGGTACTACGTAAACAGTTAGAATATTGATTCCTTGTATTAAGTAAATGTCTAGAGATCAGTTGATGAGTACATACATCATCGCCTTCAATGTATGGGATATGAAGCTCCTTCGCCAGGCCTTGGGCTACAGTAGTCTTCCCGCAGCCTGCCGGCCCCGTGACTATCCAGATGTGCTGTGGCTTCATGGCATGAGGATTTTGTTGAGACCTTGCCGTGTACGAAGCGGCACTAGAAGATAGAGAAGAGGATGAGGTTGTTGCTGAGGAATACCGGTGGGAAAAATTGCGACTGTTGTTCTGTAGTGGCAGCGGTGACCTAGAAGCCGGCATATAAGGGCCAGTGGAAGGCTGTTCCGTGGATAGCATGATGCTTAAATTTCTGAGCCACGAAATCAGCTTGTTTTAGCCGGTTTGCTTTCAGGTAGCAGTGAAGCTGTGATGGGCCTGAGAACGGCTTGATAATGTTTGTACCGGACAAACAAGATATAGAAAGATATCGTAGCACACTGTACGGATTCTTTGTCAATGAATTTGGCAAAGGCACAGAGATCCGATCAAGATAGTATCTGGATAACAACAAAGAGAGTAGCTATAGCTAGTAGTTGATACGGGATCAAAAGGATAAGGAGCTTCTGGAGAGGACGAGGAAGTACGAAAAGTAAACTGCGGGTGAACGGTTGGTTTTAAGCTCTGAAATCTCTTGAGCCATCCCACGCCGGACGAAACCCAGCTCAACAAAGCCATGAGACAATCCGTCCAGAACTTCTGGTTGCTGTCTTATTGCAAATCTTAATTCACGCGCAGTCCAATCATGAGACATCGGCAATGGGTGGACAGAGGCCGCGGTGGATGCCAGTGGGGGGAACGTAAAAGCCGGGGATAAAGGGAGGACGAGAGAACGGGATGACAAAACAAGCAGACAGGGCTAACCCACAGTCACGGTTCTGGGCCGGAGCTGGCCCGATCTCCAAGGATGTAAGGCCGGCGCATGAATGCATTTGGAGGATGGCACCTGGAGGCTGCAGCATTGGTAGGTGTTGGTTTTTGTTGTTGGTGATGAGAAATATTGAGGAATCAGAACCGGAGGGCCTTTGATCGTCCAAGCCTCGGAGGAAGGATGATATGCAAACAGACCCGCGGGATGGAGTTGGCGCCGCGGCCATTACCACTAGGCATGGCGAGAGGTATACCTCTTTCCAAGCTACGGGGATGATGGAGATGAGATAGTTCTGGTGTGTGGGAGTCAACCAGCGGCCGTCGTGCCGGGATGCCCCTGCTATCCCTGCCCCCTTTTCTCGGATGAGCAAGCCAGGCTCGAAGACCTTCGTCTACACAGAAAGAAAAAGCAGTTCAGCTTGGTGCATCCATAGTGAGTTGGCGCAGTGCGAAGAGACGGTGAGCGACTTGCACTATTGTCGTTTACCAGGCCGAAAAGAGTCAAATCGCAACGGCCTGCGTGGAGACTGGAGGTCAGAACACCAGTCGTTGGTTCCATGCACTATGAGGTCAGTGTTGCGGTTGCGTCGACGATAGTTAGACGTACTCCATACGGAGCATTATGATAGCTCTGTCAATAATGTATGATCTCGCGTCTGTCCTGCAGCCAGCAGCAGCTTCACCCTGCTTGCAAGACGCCTCTTGGAAGGTGACCAGCTACTCCGTATACGAACCAGAACTAGTCCGTCACATAACGAGCTAATCGTACGGAGTACTTCGTACGTTGCTCTGCACTTATACTCTGGACTCTATCCACATTTGGAGGAGCTGGCCACTTCGCGAGATGTTGGTTCACACGAAAACCCCCCAGTCGAGATCATAATCTCAGCCGCCTCAGGGCATCAATTGAACGGCGACCAGGTCCAATCTGGTAAGTTGATCCTGTCTGCCACGTTGCCTCGCTGCACGATTGCCACAAAGGACAGAACCACAATCCTTACGGTATTTTCGACATCTTGTTCCCTCAAAGCACTTTACTGGGGGCGGGGGGATGACTATGTATCCTCTTATTGCCCCCCTGCCTTCATTTTGCGGTTGTGATCACGAAATGATCCCATTGATGGAAACCTGTCGGAGATTTGCTTTTTCAAGTCGAATTACATATTAAGCATGGATACCTACAGGGATTTTGGCCCTCTCCCTTGCTGTTGACGTTGCCAGGCAGCAAGTTGTATTCATACCTACGACAACGAGGTTGCATGCCAGGCTAGTTCGATGCTTGCTCGACATATCCTATATAGGCCTTGTGCGTTTCGTACAGGATGATGGGTAATGACTATAATTAGTTATTCGCTCACCTGAGCGGATGGCTGCCCGGTTCCCGAAAGGATATTTCGACATTTATTTTCCCTACAAAAGACGTTAGCATGGATGCTCTGATTCATTCCCGAAGCCAGGATTGGGGGATTATACGATTCAGGGACGCCGAATGGGTGGTGGTTTCCTCGCTTACTGAGATTACACCCCTTCTAGGGCCTCGTATCTCCCATCGAAGCTGACATTTACGTACCCTCCGTATAAGAAACACCGATTCAAACTTCGGTTTCAAGACTCCAGCTCTCCCGTTTCCGCACGGATGTTGAGCATCGCTTCCGCTACCATCTTTTGGCGCTTAAGTTGTCGAGTTATGAAGTCTGAAGAAGTATATCTGTGTGTAGAGTACTCCGCACTGCGTAACCAAGGTAGAAAGAAGGGGCTATAAAAACATGGAATCCGGCCAATTCCGGCCATCCCCAGATTCCCAGGGTTAGTGGGTGCGGATACGGAAGCGGATAAGGGGTAGCAGCATGAACTATCGCATCTGATCACCTCATCCTGCATCCTGTTCGTTGCCAATCGAGTCTCTAGCGTTGGTGATGAGCACCGCTGAGCTAACTAGTAATCTTCCTATAGAACGCCGGCGGTACCTCGCGAGGTTATAGGTAAAAAAGAAAGCAGAATTCAAAGCCCGACCTTCACGAGCAGCACAGTACCTTATCACACCGACAAACCACCTTCGCTCTGGCTTCCTATCGAAGGAAAGAAGATACAAATTGTCTTTTTGTCGACGTTGGCCTTTTGTTGACGTTGAAGTAAAAAATGATTTACGAGGAAAAGGCCAAAAAGGACGGTGTTGATTACATAATCCCGGGTCTTACATCAACCACCCGAAATGGAGCCAAAGAGCCCAAGGCAAACACCATGAATGCAGCTCTGGAACAGCAACAGAACAGCTGGGAATAACACAACTGGCGCTCGCGTTGGCTGATTAAGTCTTCCGATTAACGTATCTCTGGTGAACTGCGACCAGGATGTCCTCTTTTTTTTTCTCCACACCCGTCGATATCGACATCTTGCTAGAAGACGGCGATGAGCGAGAAACGGTCGACATCAAGCTCGAGAAGAACCGGCGGGAGAAGGCTCCGTTGTACCTTGATGGGGAGTCAGTCAAGGGCGCCGTCACAGTCAGGCCAAAGGATGGCAAACGGCTGGAGCATACAGGCATCAAGGTGCAGTTCATTGGTATGATTGGTACGTATTTCCAGTTCCGGCTCATCCACTTCCCCCCTCATGTCTTCTCCGTGCCCAAAGAAGGATAAATAAAGTAAAATGTATGCACACCTACTGATGATTGCTTTGTGTTCGCGCAGAAATGTTCTACGATCGTGGCAATCACTACGAATTCCTCTCCCTTGGCCAAGAACTGGCTGCTCCTGGCGAACTACAGCACCCGCAGACATTCCCATTCAACTTCAAAAATGTCGAGAAGCAGTACGAGTCTTACAACGGAATCAATGTCAAGCTGCGGTATTTTGTTAGAGTAACTGTCTCCCGTCGGATTGCGGATGTTGTGCGCGAGAAGGACATCTGGGTATATTCGTACAGATTGCCGCCAGAGTCCAACAATCCAATTAAAATGGATGTCGGAATCGAGGACTGTCTGCATATTGAATTCGAGTATTCGAAGTCAAAGTATCACTTGAGGGACGTGATAGTGGGAAGAATATACTTTTTGCTCGTTCGGTTGAAAATTAAGCACATGGAGTTGTCTATTATACGACGCGAGACTACGGGATCCCCGCCGAATCAGTATAACGAAAGCGAGACGCTGGTGAGATTCGAGGTATGTGATCTCTCTCTTCACTATTCTTATACTCTATACGGAGATTTTATTGACTATTTCTTGGCTTAGATTATGGATGGCTCTCCATCAAGAGGTATGTTCAAACAGGAACAACTTAATTTCTTACCTCATCAGCTTTTCTGACACTGCATTAGGCGAAACCATACCCATCAGACTATTTCTAGGTGGATTTGATCTAACTCCCACCTTCCGAGACGTGAACAAGAAATACTCGACGAGGTATTATCTCAGTCTTGTGTTAATCGACGAAGGTATGCATTTCGCTCTCTGCGCCGCGGTTCTATTTCACCGCACGGGTACTCGAGTTGTCCCACCAATGTACTATTCTGACCATGGTTAGACGCCCGTCGATATTTTAAACAATCGGAGATTGTCCTCTTCCGTCAATCTCCAGAAATGGCGGCTGCCGCACAACTTGAAAACCAACCGCATGATGGGCAACATGCAGTGCCCCCACCGGAACGCAAACAAGCCGTACGTCATAGCGAGGATGAGGAAGACGGCCTGCAAAGCTCGCACCATGCATCGCCCCCATCCCAACTTGCACCTGAACCTACATCTGCACCTGCATCCACTATGCCGACATAGCTCAAAATGATGGTTCCCCGAATCTGATCCTATTTCTTCCCTTTTTCTCCTTCTCTCGCCTCCGCGCAAACATATAAAAGGAGGTGATGGCGTCCGGAGTTCTAACGAACTTGTTTTCCTATAATTTTCCTTTCATCCGGAGAATATGTAATATTTTTATGTTAATTTTCACTGTATATGGGGCTGGGCCATGTTCCAGCATGATTTCAACCTAACCCCCACGTTACGTACTTGTGATATCGACTGCCCAGTTTCAGCCAAACAACAAACATAAATAGGTATCATAATGCCGATCGAGGGTGATTCAAACAAAGAATGATTATCTACGACGTATTAATCCAACAAACAACCATGACATTGGAAAACGGAAACACCGCTCCTCTAATTCCCCAGTGACCAGGCTAGTTACTATCCCTGTATTCCCTCTAAGACTTTTGTCAGCGCATCCAGAACTTGGCGATCTTTGTATTCCTTGCCGGCAACCGTTATTGCACGAATAACAAGGGGATACATCCACCCAAGATGTTTTTTGAACCTTGCCGCTGTGGAGCTACTACTTTCCTCATCATCATCATCCTCCTCGTCGTCGTCGTCTGGGGAGTCGTTTGGCCCCCCTATAGGAACGCTAGGGTTAGCTGCTGGAATGGCAGTTGGCTCACTCTTCAAATCAACCAATCGGGTTAGGAGGTACATCAATTCCTTCCTTGAAATTATGGGTTGTGGCATTAGCCCCAGAAGTGGTTGGTCGGCGATATATGATTTCAAGGGTAAGGCACAGCGTAAGATAAGGTAAGGTGACACAGATTTTGCAAGGGATATGTACGGTGTCACAAAATCTGACGATGAAGCTTGGCTCTCTCCTGCGGCCGGTTTGCGAACAGACGCAAGGTCAAATAGCGTATCAACTAGCACATATGATAGTTTGCTCCGCATCGTTGGCTGTGGGCCATGAGTGCGGCCGCGTCGGATCTTATATAGATCGCGGAGAGGTTCCTTCTGTGCCAAGTTATCTGGCAGATCCAATCGCTGTGGTGGATAAACATGTGAAGAATTGAACAGCACAAAGGCAAAGTCTCTCCGGATCTTCGGAGAGACGAATGATGAGCCAAGGGCTGGGATTATCATGCCACGGAGACGTTCGAAGGCAGCAATGTCGAATTGCTCGTCGGATAGCAGGGTGGATGGCGTTAGGTTTAGATCTGTATATTCTCCGCAAGAGACGACGGCTTTTACGACCTCGACTACCGACGCCCAAAAGCGCTCTGTAATCATACGGTCACAAGTCGAATATTGGGCCTCAACGTATCCAACAGCAATTTCTATGAGGTCTAGAGAAGCCGTCGTTGCCGTCTGCCACAGGGGTGGACTGCCATCCTTCCCTAGCCACTTGTACTTACCAAATATTGGAGACGTCAGTCGTTCAAGGGTGTTACTAAGCACACCATCCGGCAGGACATTAGGTTTCAATCCATTTTCGCCTATATACCAGCTTAAAAGCTTCATTGAGGATTTGGAGAGCGCAACAAAAGTTGGTTTGGCTCGGTCGGCTTGTGGTGTCCAATTGACCATAGGAAGTGGAAAAAAATTGGAAAGACTATCCATGATTGCCGACTGTGAGTTGGGTTTATCAGCACAAAGTGTCCTAAAACACTCCAGAACCTGAGTCTGTAACTCGGAGGGCGCCTCGACATCCGGGGAATATTTGGAATGGATAGATTGCTCAACAGCTAACTGGATGTTCTGTAGGGCATCAAGTATTTGCTGTTCGTCCAAGTGGTTATTAAGTAGCCTGTAGAGCTGCCTGTAGGCTTTGAAATAAGCTAGAAGCCCACTCTGGTTCGAATGCTCGCAGTCCGGCTTCCCATCTTTGGAAACAATATTGCCATTCACCCAAATATCCCAGGCCTGTTGAACCAATTTGATACCAATATCTTCGGGTGTTTGTAAGCAGGAGAGTATTTGGGACAAACTCAAGAAAATAGCCTCCTTAAGATCCAGTGAATCTAGTTTGATAAGTGGTTCGTAAAAGAGGAGTAATCTTGTCCAAGATTTATGGAAATCTCCGCTCCTGATAATTGTAGTAAAGTAGGTAGCGATAAGATTTGATAGACCTTTGCTCAACAACACTGAGGTATCAACCCAGGGCTTCTGCTCTTCGGGATTTTCTAACGAAGATCCCACTAATTGAACAGCTTTGGCCTGGACAGCCTCGGCCATAACAAAAAGTATCTTGTTTAAGCACAGGTGCCATATAGCGGGGGATAACTGTTCACTCGAATGATCCAATATTCGAAGCATTGTTTGAATCGCGCTGTTTCGTACTTCAATGCGGGTATCGATTGTGAGATCAACCATCCTCAGAAGCAAGAGTAACCACAGCGCGCTTGTTGACGAAGAGTTACATGGGCTTTTGGCGATCTCTACAATCTGCGCTTCACTGGTCGAAACAGTAATCTCATCTTCACAAGAGAATCGATCGATCTGAACTCGAAGGAAGTCCGATACATTCCAGAATGACGTCGTGGCTGTTAGTGAAATATTAAAATCTTCCTTTTGAGATGCAAAGCTGTAAAAGCATTCTACTAGCTCGAGTAGACATGAAGCTGGAAGTAGTGATAAGAAGTCGGATGCTATGAGTTGCAGGGAGTCGAACGCAGTTCGTAGGAGCTTTTGAGATTTTACTTTTACCGACTTCGGGTTGCTGGGTGTTGGCTGGATCGGTTTTTGCTTCTCATCTGTCTCCATAATGGATTGTATTTCGTTGTCAAATACGCTTGATATTAACTCAAATACCAAATTCCATCCTGCAACCACTGATTGACCGGAACCCTCCAGAATAGATTTCAAGGTTTCGAGGGCAAATTCATGGACTTCTAGATCCACCGCACGGGATGAAGAGCTTGGCCGCCATCCATGGAATGGTATAGATGATTGCGACTTCAAAGCGTGTAATCCACGAAGCTGCACACTATTCCTTGACTCTTCTTCAGTGGATTCTGTGAGTTTGATGGTATTTGAAATCACAGTATTAGTCACGTCACTGGCCTTGAGGCGTAGAGCGGAGCTAATCTGGTCGTTCTGGATCATTTTCAGAAGATTATTGACCAAAAGCTCCCATATACCTTCATCCTTTGAGAGAGAAAGCCGTTCGATATTTGCTTTAGCAACGGCGTGTGCTTTCTCTAGCACAAACTTCAGCTCATCCTCGCGCACTCTGTTGCGCCCTAGTGCCACAGACAAGCTGCGTTTATTTTGGTGAACCCTTCCCCCATTTTGTCCTTGGGTGAGAAGAGGCGAGGATTGTTTCTGGCTAGAAGGGGTTACTGAATCCTTCATAAAGCTTTCAGGCAAGCTCAATAAAGTCATGAGAAAGATTTTAAACGCAGAGTTTGTGTAATCGCCTGTGCTCTCGCAAAGTTTATTGGTTACAGCCTGTACAGCCATGATTTCAGGCCCAAGGTTGGATTTGGGGGTATCGGAGTTCAAGTTCTTGGCCTCCAGGGCGGGGTCCGTTGGCATTGATACGAAGGTCGAACTCGTTGCATTGATTACTAGTTCTGCATTTTGGAGAGTTTCAAGAATGATAGTCCAAGCATCACGGTCCAAAGTTGGCCCAAGAGCAATACCCAAGTTTAAGAGTGCTCGTAGACATAGTAAATTCCTAGTATTGAGCATATGAATAGGGCTATCGACAGGCGAGTTGGCGGCCTCAGAAACACTTGGTCGTTGGTTGGCATTATTGATAATAGGTGAGTTAAGAGTGCTACTATCAGGGTTAGGCCCGGGGAGATCTGTAGGTACTGCTGCTTTTCCAAGCGTCGTCAGGAATGCATCCCGGGGAGTGGCAAGCCTCAACAAACCGGCAACGTGAGTTAGCTTTTGGAATGCTCGAACCAGGGAGTGGTAAAATTCTCCATCCAGAGCTGCGTATAAGAAAGTAGACGAAGTGGCCAGTATCGCTGGCCAGCAGACCTCGATGATACCAGCGGTTGCTTGAATATCAGTAATTTGAGGATGGGAGCTTAGCTCAAGAGGATTTGGAGGAATGGATGATCTTCCCGTCGGCTCTTTGCGACCAGCATCCTGCTGGCTAGAATTGCGTTCCTTGTCTGAGCTTGAGGTATTGCGTTTCCGCTTGCTTTTTGATTCAGCAACAGCTAGCGGGATGATGAACTTTGCCATGCTTTCGGAGAACGCTGCTATGCAGTTGAGTACTAGACTGTAGATATATGTATCCGGAGGTGAAGGGGAGTCGACCTTGTCGAGTGTTTCAATATATGGTACTCGAAGGAGACTCCACTGAGTGCTAATGCCACACATCTCTGACTTATTCGACGGGCTCCCGATTATGCCACTCACTCCAACTGACTCAAGAGCGACCTGATCCTCCATCGTGTCTTTGCCTGTTTGTGGCGCTAATGGGATCGTGGATTGATGGCCAAGGCCGATCAACGAAGTTTTTTCAGAGGAAAGCCTCACTAAGCATGACATATGATCCCTTAATACGGCTTTGCGACCTTCTTCCTTATCAAAGAGGGTATACATAAGTCGGATGATACCGGGTTCGGTATATAGGGACCTAAAGATCTCCATGCAAAGCACCCGCTTCCAGGGCAAAGAAGTTTCCGTGTCGATTAGATGAATCAAAAGCGAGAGAATTACCTCGCATTCAAGGGTTAGCAAGGATAGGTGGGCTTTCAAAATATATAGTGCTATCCTCGCAACACGGACAGTCAAGGAAAATGACTGGCGTTCAGACAGGTATCTGACTGCCAGAGGTAATAGTCTATGCCGAAGGACTTGTGTATGCTCTGGGTGGTTGGCAAAAATCGCAGTGTTGTTGACTAAAATGCTTTCAATCAATTCCAGTATGAAAATTTTAGAAAGCGATTTGATGTTCAAGTACGTAAGTTGTTCACCCTCGAGCAGGCGGCACAAATCTTCTAGTATCTAGGCAATCGATTGTTAGTATATGTATCTATATTGGATTTAATTGGCGATAGGAATTTCAGTTACCCGAAAAGCATCGTAACTAAATGTAGAGACCTCAAGCTTCTGGCCATCAACGGAAATAGTGGTAGATGATGCATCACTGTCATTTTTACCTGCAGCTTTCGAGGTTAGTTTACTTTAAATTAACACAGTGTAGTGGTTAAGGAGAGCAAACGAACTATCTTCTTGAGAGACTTTCTCAAAAACAGCAATGACTAGTTGCTGAAGAGTAGCAGCGGCGGTATTCGATACCGCTGTGGTCTTGCTGTTTTGTAGAGTAGCGCATATCTCTAGCGTGCTGGCAAGAAGAGCACCAGTAAGGTTATCTGCATAAAATCGAAACAGAGACGGTAATGTTTGCAGTATTTTGAGCTGTATTTCAAGACCTATTGCAGAGGTGAGCGGTGGCCTAGCCAGGACATAAGCGGGTATAAACGAACTCAGATTTGCTGTTTCATGTAACCCTTGAAGCACATCCTTTAAGCGTTCGTGAGGCAAGGCACCAATAGTTACCAGCCTTTGAAGATTCGTTACTCCGATGGCAGCAAGGCGGGTATGCCTGGTTTGGCATGCTAGAACAAATGGCCTGGCAAACTGAGGCTTTCTGGCCAAGTCTCTTGAAAGTTCAGCACGGGGTCTAAAGAACTGATAATATCACACAGGAGCAGACCAACCTGCCGCTAGCTGTGACTCAGATGTCGATGGTAGAGCTTTAAGCTCTGCAAGCGATTGTTCGGCTGCCTATTTTTAAGGGTCAACAACAGTACCACATATATTTATATTTGATTGTAAGAAGTAACTACAAGCATAAACAGACATTTTTGAGGTCAGAGTGCTTCCTTTTAGACTCCTGGATCAGGTTTGATAGCTCTGCCTGCAAATTGTTGGACGTCATGTCAGATATCGGATGGGCATAATGTACGTGGCGTCTCATCAAGTAAGGATTGCGGGCCGTAAAAATGCAAGAATTATGTGTGTAATTAAGCCATTCCCCTGTAAATATCCACCAAAGCCTCCTTGATAAGTAACTGGTCTCACGCTGGAGCAAGTAACCAAAATATGCCAGATGGAATGTTGTCCATTCTCGATACTGGAACTTCCAATCGCATTTACATCGGGATGCCGATAGTTACAGTCACGTGAATTTCTTAGTAATCATGACTTCTGCAGAGAGTGACTTTTGGCGAGATGCAAGTTGCAAGCCTGACGACATAAAAACAAAACTCGAAGAGCAAATCAGGAAGAAGATCAGAGAGTCTACCGTGGGCCAGCCTGACTTTATCTCCGGGAATCCTCATAGAGAACCAACCGGCGCGTTAACTCATACAATACTACTGTCACCATCGCAAACATGACGGCTAAAGTCCCTCGAAACTTTCGCCTACTAGAGGAGCTGGAGAAGGGAGAGAAGGGAATGGGCCCTGGTATGCGAATTAATAACCAATTTGCCGCTTCATCTGACATCTATCGCTAACTCTAACTTGTAAATAGAGGCATGCTCGTATGGCCTAGCGGACGGTGACGATTTGATGATGACGAACTGGAATGGCACAATCCTAGGCCCGCCACACGTCAGTATTTCCCATCTCAGACCATTTCCTTCACCCTCCAAGTCTTCCGTTTCTAATCATGAAGGCCAATAGAGCGTACACGAGAACCGGATATATAGCGTCAACATTCATTGTGGAGATCAATACCCGGATATGCCCCCCACGATCCAGTTTGTCTCACGAGTAAACCTGCCATGTGTTGACCCAAAGACCGGCAAGGTACGGACGTCATGATATATCACTTATACGCAACTTTTTTTTCTAACTGAATAATTTCTTCAGGTTGACCCTTCCAGGCTTCCTTGCCTGGCCCAGTGGAAACGTGAGAATACCATGGAGACCGTGCTTCTTGAAATCAGAAGGTATGAAATTCACAAATCGGGGCATACAGCTTATGACATTAGCTAACAAACCCATAAATATTAGATACATGGCGTTACCACAACACAAGAAGCTCCCTCAGCCACAGGAAGGGACTACCTTCTAATCCCCCTCTCCGCCACCGGATAATTACTTTTGAGGTTGATAGCACGCCCGGTGATCATTATCTTTTGGCATCTTATACTTGCATATATATTTTAGGTGTGGTTTCATTTAGCGGAGTTTGGAACTCCAACTGTGATAGTAATCAATTCAACTGTCATCGTGAAAAGAATATATCCGTTTTTGATATTGACATGAGGGGGGACCAAATACGCGATAAGATAAGAATATACACGTGACCGCGATAAATTTCCTTGGCTTTCGTTCTTGGTCTGAAGTTTTGGATCTTGAGTTGACGTGAAGATTCACAATAAATGCAAAATCACGTCGCAGCCAGCGGTTCCTCGAAAGGTGGCTAGTGACCAAATATTGTGGTGTCCTGATGCCCCGATTTTTGCACCCATCACAATCTGGTGTCCACCGTTTAGCGTGTAAGCAGTCTGTTCCTGGCTATCGAAGCTTGTGTTAATTGATCCATTATACAGGCCTTTCTCTCTACCACGCCTTACTCTCGCAATGCTCAAAGCCTTGGCTCACACGCTCGAAAGCATCACACATTCGAGCGCTAATACAAGCTAGATTTCATCTAGATCAACCAGTTGAGAGCCCTAGTCGAATTGAGAAGTCTTTGAAAGCTGGTTATGAGGTAGCTTCCCTAGCCTATTATCCTTGATCTACGCCATTACTCACTATTTGTGACCGCTCAAGGCTTTGAATTTGATGAAGTCATGCGAAAAAGGAGACGCCACAAGCATAGAACGAGTTGATTCCCTCATAGCTGGAACTGAGCCTTTTCTGGCGAGGTATAAGCAGAAATGCGCCCGATTGGCCCGTGAACGCCAGGAAAAAGATCTTGAAGATGCGAAGAAGAAGCAGAATAAACGTCGGTTCAGCGCCAAACGAGTTCTAGAATCGGTGCTGGCACGTCCTTACCCTACTGTTTCCGGTATCCGCCGTGTACCCCGGTTCGCCTGTGCGCGTGGCATTCCATTCCTCCGAATCAAGAAACCCCAGCCAAAGAATCTAAGCGTTGCCATACGGATCCGACAGGACGCTCGATGGAAGAATATTTTGCGCAGGCAAGAGTTGGGTGTCGATTCCCTGTTTGCAAAGGATGAAGATTTGTGGGATCAAATCACTTCGAAAACGGAGCCTGATTCTTGGGATAAAGCTATCCAGCAGAATATCAACCGCGTGGTGGAGACGATTAAGAATGGAGACGAAAGGGACCTCGAACTAGCCAGGAAGATGTGGAATGTTGTCGTAGCCGAGAGACGATTGGCCGAGAAAGAGGCCCGTCAAAGGGAGAAAATGGGCCAGGCTGACGAGACAAAGCCCAGCTCTCCAGAATCTACGAGTCGACCTTTATGGTCGCGATAGTTGTCTACTCATGACACCGAGGCAACAACGGTGCCAAGAGACTATCAATTCTTTACATCTGCTATAAATGAAGACACGAAGATGTATTGACAACAAATGCGAACGCTGTTAAATCATTGAAGATGCCTTTGAGATATCACCACGGTCTTTTTCAAACTACCATCCGCTGCTTACTTTCTGGAGGCCAGAATGGCGTCCAACTTTGGTGACTGATCGATCCAGGCCTTGGTCTTTGGCCTCTCCATGCAACGGTCCCACCAAGCCTTGATCTGAGGTCGAGAAGTAACCACATCTCCAAACCCACGGTCAAACAGTCGAGCCAAGAAGGGAAGGTAATAGACATCTACAAGCGAATACTCATCACCAGCCATGAACTTCTTACCAGAAGACTTGAACTTGGCCTCCACGATATCAAAGTATTCTTCCAGCTTCTTCTTGTGCTCAGCAGCCGCAGCATTGTCGGTCTCCATGTTAATCACACGCTTAATAAAGGTCTCCCAGATGATGCCGGAAACGGGGGTTTCGAAGTAAGAGATTTCGCAAGAAAGCTCCTGCTCGAAGAGGGCGAGTGAGGCGGCGGTAGCGGTAGCAGGGTTGGGGAGAAGAGGCAGGTTGAGCTTTGTGCAAAGGAAGCGGGCAATGGCGCGAGATTCGTACATCGTGACACCGTCACTGGTTACGAGAGTTGGGACCTTGCCAAAGGGATTGCGGGCAAGGTATTCAGGAGACTGGTTGAGGTCAGTGAGTAATGCGATGTATGTTGCATGGACTAAATACACAGACCTTGTGCTCTTTGGCGGACATGTCGACGTTGACATATTCAAAGTCAGTGAAGCCAGCGTCTACGAGGGCGAGCAAGATCCGGTCTGGCGCCGTAGCAATTGGAGTGGCATAGAGGGTGAACTGAGGCATCTTGACGAGAATTATCTGGTACTCTGACTACTTGTGGTGGTATTAGATGGATGGGTGGTTGTATGGTTGCCTAACTACCGTCCCCTCAACGGACGGGTTTTTATATATAACTATTTACAGCTTCCAACGCCCCGCACGAAGGAGCTGAGGATTACACATCAACAACGGCCAGTCGGACTAATTAATCCCACCGATCTTCGTATGGTCTTCGTATTAGACATTACAGGCGAATTAGACCCCAGGGCGTGGGCCAGAGCTGAATCAAAATGTTGCTTAACTCATGCATGTCAATTTATAATATGGCACCTGTACGACCGAAAAAGGCCGGCTGCTGCAAACACCCGGCCAGCCAGAGAGCGAGGACAGTCATCAGGACGGCAGAGATGATCTCAAGTGGCCGACGGTACTTGCAGAGTGCAATGGACAGGCTAACGGCGGCGTCAGACTGGCCCCGAGCAATCATGGCGGCGCGCAGGCCAGGAAGCCCATCGAGGGACTCTGCGTTCCACGCGTTCATGTACTTGGACAGCTGTTTCTTCTCAGCCTGCTTCTCTGCCCAGTCCACAAGGGTGTCCCGGTCCTGGAGATACGGCTTCACGGCGCCTGTCTCTGCGTCTGTCCGGAGGGCTAGGAGAGGAACCCCATAGCCGCATGACGTTTGCACCTGGAGAACGTTAGGACGGAGGAACTAATCATAGAATAAAAAATAAAATAAAACAAAACATAGACCGTAGAGCATACTTGGAATATGTCCAGTGCAATAACCGCCCTGGCGCTGGGGATATATCTGTCCGAGACGCCCATCTTGCCGACCCAGCCCTTGAACGCTGGGTCGTCGAACTCGATCACTTTGCCGGTGCAGAAGAGCCGAAGGATGCGCGGCGACGATTCAAAGGAACAGAACATGACTGTGATGCGGCCATTTTCACGCACATGGCTTAGAGTCTCGTTGCCAGAGCCCGTAGCATCGACATAGGCCGCCTGGTTGGGCGAGAGAATGGCGAGAGAGGTCGATGGCAGGCCCTTGGGCGAGATGTTGATGTGTTTTCCGAGGCTGGGGGCAGAGGCAACGAAGAAGACGGGCTGGTTGAGCATCCATTCCCGGTGATCGGGCTCGATGGACGGATAGAACTTGACCATGGTGTCTATCTATCGCCTATGTCTAGCTGTGTCTCTGTCTATGTAGAAGATATGTTGAAGAGGTAAAATGCTCGTATTGGGGGCAGAGTGGAAAAAAAAGGCACTTTAAATAGCCGAGAGGATTTGGTCAATCTTTTACTGTTCCCATGTTCAATTTGATCTGAGAAGAAGCCAATGGAATGCGTAGTTGGCTAATTGTTATAGAATGCCTGCTTCACAGGGGATCCCTGTGGCTAGCGGTGGTTTGTCATACATTTGAGCACGCACAAAGCGCCGTCAATAGTATTCAATGTCCGCCAAAGAGATACTATAGGTTGGCAGGTGGAGGTAAGCCGCTTAGGAGCAGAGTGATTTAAGCGGTTAATTCGACCTTCTCGAGCTTCTCAGGTATCGAATCATCCATGTCGTCTTCATAGTCTCCCTTTCCAGCCATTCCTCTCTCCCAAAGCTGCTTGCCAGTCAACTTCTTCGGCTCTTTGTTAGCGCCCTTTTTCTTTTTCTCTTCAGCCTCTTTTTCCTCCTGTCTCCTCTCCTCAGCCTCCTTCATCTCGGCCATGAACTTCTCCCGCCACTCAAGGAAGGTCTCACGAGTCACCCGAGTACCCTGGAACTTTCGGTTCTCTTCCTCTTCTGCCTTAGCCGCTTCCATGTCCTTTAGGGCCTGTATGGCGGCCTGGCGCTCTGAGATGAGAAGCTCAGCTCCCTCTTTCAAAGAATCGACTAGCGAGAACACCATGGCAATTCCAAGATTCTCTTCTATTGTCGACTGAAGTGACTCCAGCAGCCTATCTCGGTCTTCCTGGATGTCGAGATGGGGGTATTTGGGTGCATTGGGAGGGGTGGATAGCTCCAGTCGAGGGGCTACGTCGGGATAGTCCTCTGGATATGTGACTTGTAGGATAAGTGTCGGAGGCTCAACCTCCTCGCCATCTTGAGACGTGACATCGAGGTGTATAGAGATGCGATATGAGTTCTCGGAGATTTCTGACTGTCTGTTAGCCGTGAACTCTTCCATGCCGTTAAAGGAGAAGTTTTCTTGGTTTACCCGTTAGCTCATCGGGAAAGATAGACTGCAGCGTCTCCTTCTCTTCCGCCTGCTCTTCACGGCCCATCTTGCACCATAAGAACAGGCACAAGCCTAGAAGATAGACAGTCTAATTAGCTTTAATTATATCAAGTCTTGATTGCCCCGTCAAGATGTTGAGTTTCTTCTTCTTCGTCGTCTTTCGTTATCGGGTTTGTTATCGAAATGCAAACAAGGCAAACATGCGGCTGATTTTTTTTATTCCTATTTTACTTTTTTTTATCTTTAACTCAAAAATCTCTCAACATTGCTTTGACGAATTAATTCGAAAATATCTATTTCGTACCATTGACACACCTAACGGGCTATCTCAACTGCCTTATTGAATATCTCTAGCGGCATTAGAGGCTACAGCAAAGCCAATGGCCAAAACCAAGCCCTCAAAGAAACAGTCCAAGAAAACCCGCGAGTCGGTCCTCCACGGCACAAAAGGGATGTCAGCAAGACCAATGGAGAACCCTGAAACCCTGTTCGAAGAGGCAGTAGTGTTACTACAGACCGGCCAACCTAGCGAGGCACTACCACTTGTTGAACGAGCTCTAAAAAACATCCCTTCCGACTCACCGAAATACCTAGTTGGATTAAACTTGATAGGAGAGATATATGTCGAGCTGGGTGAAATAGATTCTGCGCGAGAGAGCTTCCTACGAGCTGTTGAGCTGGACCCAAAGGGTGAGATAGACGAGACGATTGACGGAGGCGCAGAGAAGTTCTTATGGCTGGCCCAATTAAGCGCAGAAGGCGGTAAGGATAGCGTACGGTGGTTTGAGAGAGGTGTAGGCGCACTGAAGAGGAATCTACAGTCTCTCGAAGGGGAAAATGATGAACTTGCTCAGGAGATAAGGGAAGGGTTTAAGAAAAGGCTTGCACATGCGCTTTGTGGAGTGGTGGAGATATATATGACGGATCTATCGTGAGTATATTCAACTCTTGACAGCTGATAAACGGACGCAAACTAACTCAGGGACAGATGGGAAGAAGATGTAGAGAGCAGATGCGAAGCTCTCATAACAGAGGCGCTGCTAGTGGCCCCGGAATCTTCAGAGTGTTTACAGACTTTAGCATCGATCCGGATATCCCAGCTCCGGTTCGACGATGCCAAAGCAGCGTTATCAAGAAGTTTAGATACATGGAAAGACGAGCCACCGGAAAGCACACTTATACCAGATTTCCCATCCAGGGTAAGCTTATCTCGCCTGCTAATGGAGGTTGAGATGGAAAATGAGGCGCTTCAAGTTCTTGAAAGAATGGTGTTTGAAGACGACCAGAGCATTGAAACATGGTATCTCGGCGGATGGTGTCTTTATTTGATAAGCAAAAAGGACCAGAAACAGAGTCAGGGAGAGGTGGATGCAGAGACAAAGGAGCAACTAGCTTCTACTCTCCTGACCAGCCGGAAATGGCTCAGGCAGGCCTTGAAGCTATGCGAACTTGTCGGCTATGAGGATGAGAAGCTCAAAGAGCATGCCATTGAGCTTGTACAGGAGATCCAGAATGAACTGGGCATCTCTGGAGACGATGAAGTCGGCGATGATGACGTATGGGAGGATGATACTGACTCGGATTCAGGTAATGATCATGACATGGCAGACTCCTAAGGGAGAAAAGAAAATATACTTGGTTCTTCTACCACTGCATGCTCCATTCAACGTATAAAGACGTCCGTAAATAAAAGAAATAAGTAAACAAAGCAGCAGATGGCTTAAATATAGATGCGCAGCCACAGAGTCTGCCGGCGCTTACGCCTTTAGTAAGAAGCGCGGAGAATCCCAAACCTCCGACTCTGGTCAACCAGCGACACCGCATTTCTCAGCAAGTCTAAACAGCCCGCAACGCCATTGAGCTGTGGCTCGTGTCATTCCAGCCGATTATGGACGTCATGGCGAGGCCGACCGGTGATGAAGGGGTTGAGGGCGCTCTCGTTGCAGGAACGGATGACGCCGATGGCAGCGAGCGTGTGGCCGCAGAGGACGCGCCGCATCCACCAGAGGGGAGCGAGGAGGAAGATTCCAGCGAAGAATGGGAGACTGCTTCGCTCTATGAGGACGCGCTGCAGTTTATCAGCGATGAGCACTTGCGCGGTGGTGGTGAGTCTCGCTTTCGTCTTTTATATCTAGCCGGGTCTACCTCCTTACTAACTGGCACTTTAGTCGTGCCCGGAGCATGCACCTTTGAGGAAGCAATGGCGTATCGCAAACGGCTCCGTTCTATCGGACAGGCTGCTTTTATTTCAGAAACACTTGGCCAGGGCACCGTCAGCGCAAAAACGCTGTGTACGGCTTTTGGAATCATGCCTCCGTCCTTTCTTGAGGGCGCCCCGGACAAGGCATATCACCCGCTCCTGTCCCTGGGCATGTCTAAAGAAAGCTCAAAACGCCTCAAGCTGCCAGATTACAATACAATTGATGATGTTGTTCAGCTGATGCAGAAAGCTAAGAAAATCATTGTCATCACGGGCGCAGGGGTGAGCTATCTCTGTTTATAAGCCGTATAGCATCAAAAACTGACGGTTGTAGATATCTACAAGTCTCGGAATACCCGATTTCCGATCAAAAGATACCGGACTCTACTCGAAGCTGGAGCACCTCGGCTTGAGTGATCCCCAGGAGGTTTTTGATATTGAAGTCTTCCGTGAAGATCCAAGTATCTTCTATTCTATAGCCAAGGACATATTACCCACAGAGAAGAGATACTCTCCTACGCATGCCTTCATCCGCCTATTACAGGATAAAGGCAAGCTTCTGACCAACTTCACACAAAATATTGACAATATTGAAGGTGCTGCTGGCATACTGCCGGAAAAGATGATACAATGTCATGGCTCCTTCGCCACGGCCTCATGTATGGATTGCAAACATCAAGTTCCGGGCGAGCAGCTCTTCGAAACTATCCGACAGGGCGAAATCCCTAAATGTGCGCGTTGTGAAGAGAGATCGCAGTCCAAGCCTCGAGGCCTGAAGCGCAAACGTAATTCGAACGGCAATATGAGGCAGTCTCGGTCTCAGTCAGCCTTTGACGATGATTCCGATAACGATGGATATTCGCTTCCTACGGCTGGAGTAATGAAGGTAAGCTTACTTTACCCATCCTTAAACCAATATAACCGAAAACTAATGTATTCCAGCCTGACATCACGTTCTTTGGCGAAGAGCTACCAGATATCTTCAAGAAACGCCTGCTAGAACATGATAGAGAGCTCACGGATCTTGTCATCGTTATCGGCACATCTCTTAAAGTCGCCCCTGTTGCAGAAGTTCCCGGAATCATACCATGTGATGTTCCTCAAGTTCACATCTCGCGAACTGTTAGTATCTTTACCCAACAAATTTCATAGTGGATTCAGTATTCTAATGACTGCTGCCTAGCCCGTCTCTCACATCGAATTTGATGTCGACATGCTAGGAGACTGCGACGTCGTTGTTTCCGAGCTCTGTCGACGCGCTGGCTGGAATCTTCAACACGACATGATTCCCGAGGGCCAGAAGGTTCAAGTCGAGCAGGCTGAAGGATTTGGGTCTAGGTTCACTTTTACAGTGACTAATGCGCAGAACTAAGTGAATTCCTTTTCAGATCTACAATTTCTCAGTTGGTGTTGGGTTGGTTTGGGTTTTATGGTGTTGGATCATTATGGTACACATATTAGATTGTTTCTACTTGCTTGCTGGACTCATTTTTCCCCTTCTGTAGTTAGAGATGCCCTCATGTCTAAAGTTAGGTCCCTTTCACTTTGACACGGCGAGATATGGATGGTTATTCGGGAGGATCTTTAGGTCCCATATCTGAATTATTAATACGATGGCAGAGTCTTTGGTTAAATACGACATGTATTCAATTCAATGAAATTAATATTGAATCAAATAATATTCGTAACGAGTAGTATCGCTTGACGAGATATCGGAGCTGGCGTTTGGCCATCGCCTTAAAGTTATAACTACGTTACTAGTTAGTTAGTGTCAGTTTTTGTATTAGTCATCTTATCTCACTACACATCCCACTGGTCAGCTTATGGAAGAGATAGACCCTTCATCACCGGCCGCAACAGCCCGGACTCATTAATTGTATATACTAGAATTCTTTCCAAACAAGAAACCAATAACATCATGTACAAAAACGTATCATCCCGCCAGCGGTTTATGTTTCTCAATATCAACAGAGGTTTCGATCTTATCCTCCCTTTCATCTTCTTCGTGTATACAGTTCGCAGCAGCCTTTTCCTCCAGCTTCTTCTTTTCTTTCTTCTTCTTCTTCTCAACTTTCTTGATTGCCTCCTGAGTGAGCTGCTGTCTCAAGATCTTCTCAATCACCTCTTTCTTTCTCGTCATTCGATCACCGACCATAATGACAATTCCAGATGCTATGTTGCAGGATATAGATAAACAAAGGATGGTTGTCGTTAGGGCGGTGGGGCGGACTCGGTAGTCAATACCCCAAGTGCATGCGCCGAGGGTTATTTGAAAAATAGAGTGGAAATCCAATAATATAACGACGGCAATGAGCAGCCGGACAGGAAAGGCATGATGAGTTGTTGTCTCATGAGGCTTATAAAATGTATGGGATTTGGAGAATTTGTTTGAATGGTGAGTTAGTTTCTTCTGTTGCTCAGGGGTCAAAACTGAGTATTCAGCCTCCTTATCGTTAGTCATAACATCTCTAGCTGCCAATTCCATATCAATCTCGTTTTCTTTAGCAGCTGATCTGATTACATCTTCCAACGGGGCTTCCGGAAGATCATTTGGGTTTTTGAGCTTTGGTAAATCTTGTTTCCGGCGAAGTCTCCAGGTTAGTCGATGGTAGTAAGCAATGTAAATCATATGGTAGGTATCAATGGCTCTGAATGGAGCTAGACCGTCGCCAACGATGGCAAAAAGTGCAACAAGGACATTATCTATAACGTTGATAGCGTATAACTGGCGGTCTCCAACATATATCCAGCCTTGTATCTTTTTAGTTAGGAGTCAATAGCAGGTTCGGAAATGGGATAAGACCTACCGATCAAGAACAACACCCATGCAAGACCAAATGATGTAATTAGTATTGCATATAAAGTAACAAGGAACCCAAGAGCTAGCCAAAATATAGATATTAGCTCCATCTTGCTATAATCAAGCGTTAGGAGGATATACCCACGTTTCTGAACATACTGCCAAAACCCTTTCATCCCGCGCTTAAATTTGGACCTCCGAGAGTGTAACATATGCCTGACATGGTCATTAATTTCCCACTTGTCTGACGGATCCCAGCCGTCTAGAGTGGTGCCCTCCGGCAGGACAGCAAAACGTGATACACTGAGGTTGGATGTTATTGTTTCAGTCCGCTTAGCTCTAGGTGGCTCCTCCGTATCCGAAGTAGAAGTTTCCTCCTCTTCTTCAGATACAGCCGATATTATTGATTCCACAGAGTCACTCCGAGGTCGTGTCAGATTGTAGGTCGGCTGGCGGTTCACAAACCGTCCTAAGTCTGGTACAAAGAGCGAATTCTGCACATTGGTGAGCGTCGTGAGAGTCGAGACTTCGGGGTCTTATAGCCGGAGATATTAGCTTGCTTGAAATAGTCTAAATCCAGAGTAAATAAAGACCTACCAACAACGTCAAGTAAATTGACAACCCTTGAATCATACTCTTTGCCATCATTCACGTTTCCCACGCCTTCCTGGCCTGCTTTTGCGAGACGTAACGACGACATCGCCGAGGCGCTAGCAGACCTCCATCTTCCACGCCCAGCTTCAATCTGCGCGTATTTGCTTGGCCCTTCCTCCGCCACCGTTGTCATAGGCATATATTCAGCAGCCCCATCGTTGCCGAAATTGGGACGTTGGGGCTCCGAACTGCTTCTCCGTCTCGAGGCAACCACATCGTCGTCGGAACGCTTCACGGGTTCCGGATTTAGGCTTGTAGTCCGCGCTATGGGCTCTCCGGTCAAAGATACTGAGGAATGGCGTATCCGGATGCTGGGTCTGCGAGAGTTGGGAGGACGGGTTGGCGGAGCCAGCAAGCGGGACGAGCTTGGGCATGCCCCTGGTGCCTCGGGACCCGGCGTATCCTCTTTACGGTCCATCTACACAATAAGGAGGTACATCAATAAAGGCCCTTGGAGGGTGTGCCTGAGTAGAACGCTCGAAAGTGGGCTCTGCGGTTCACTTATCCATGGATGGCTTCCGCGATATATATACAAAAGGTAAAAGCAGGTTGCCACTCGTAGCTTGACTAACTAATTAAGCTTTGCCGTTATTAAGCTTAATGCCAGATGATGTCATCGGCGGCCCCTTTTAGCGAGCACCCCGAGCCATGCCGTCTGCATTTACGAGCACAATAAATAATAAATACAGAGGAAGAGTGAGTCAAGAGGAAGTCATTCATAGTCGCAGTAATTGCTTGGGGGAGATGAAGTGAATCTCCATAAAGTGGTCTTCGGAAGTTGCTGGAAGGCTTGGGATTGGACAATTTCTCTCGACTTTAAGAGCTTCTGATTGGACAGCTTAGGTGTGCATAATGTGACACCGTTAAATTTAAATAGACCATAGCTTAGTAATTGATGTCGCTTCTTATTCTCGCGACGGAGATGCAACAACAACTACGGTGTATAACAACATCAATCAGGACGAAGAAGAAGAACCACGTCCTCTTAAATATATAATTCTTGATGAAGCATTGAAGCACGTCCCATACAACTACCTAGTGCCTACCCTTACTAAACCAACCAAACACTTACAGGCTAAGTAAAGCAACGGAGAGTTCAATGGCGTCATAGGTGGTTTAGAAGCACTACTTAACACTTCCTCAACCCCCGTTCTTCTTCCTCGCTTGTCCTGTCGTTGTTACCGTCTTTGAGAGAACAAAAAATTCCTGTCCGTTGCAAATTGCCCTGGCTAACTAGTTAGTTACAGTGCCAGCCCACTGCAAGCGAGCCGGAGCATCGTCACTGTCAATCAGCACAGCATCTAAAAATAGCAAGGACAATGAATCATGGAGGAGAGCAGGAAGAAACGGGCGAGGTGGCTCTGGCCGCTCTTTCCTTGGATACAAGTGAATCTAGATACCTTGGGTTAGACGACGCGAGAATAGTTTGTGGTCGAGAGTATGATCGCTTTCTAGCCGGACACAAGGACAACCCTTACGCCATTTTCACACACGTATCAGAGTCCGACTTCGACAAGCTTGACAGTGCAGGATTTGGAAGATTTGATTATAACACACTCACTCAAAAACTAGCCATAACCATGCCCACTGCTCCCCACGAAGAGGCCGGCACCCGGTTTAGCGGCCTAGTTATCTTGAAGGCCCAGGAGATGGGGGTCTGGCGCTTACTATCATCAAGAGGAACCACCACCATAGAAACGCGAAATAGAAGAAAAGAGCCAGACGGCTCGTGGGGTCCGCGCCAACGATATTCGGAAACCGATATAAAATGGCCAACTGTTGTTCTTGAAGTTGCATTTTCAGAGTCAAGGGAAAAAGTCAAGGACGACGCGTGGTGGTGGCTGTACCAATCTAATAGGGCTGTGCTGAAAGTGATTACAATTGACATTAAAAGGGTATCTGGCAATGTCTATGTCACCTTGTGGGAGCGTGGTGCTGCGCCGAGCAGGCAGAATCCCCGGCCAGAGGCCAGGGCCCTTAGCACCTTGAACATTTTCAGAGGCCAACATGGGAATCCCGCTCGACTGGAGGGGATGGATATAGCCCTCCCGTTCAAGGATATGCTACTTCGAGACCCTGACCCCAGCTATGGGGAAGGCGACTTTATTTTCTCCCCAGCAGAGCTCCTGGAAATTGCAGAGAATGTTTGGGCCGACATGGGGCTAGCTTCATGATTCCTTAAGCTAAGTTAGAATACTTGTCGTTTGCCCTCTTGCTAACCAAGTAGTTAACTAGTTACTGGTGTCGTACCTTTAGATGTCACCCTTGACTCTATCACCCTAATATAATATAAATATCATTCACGGCTAATTACCTCGCTTGTGAGATAATGTCAAAACGGAAGCAGCAGCAACGAATATAATTGGTTAAATCAATAATGAGAACGAATATATAAATGTATCTATTATTTGAATTATTTGAAATATAATAATCTTTGCTTCGCTCCAACGATTAAAATAGAAGTAGTAGTAGTAAATATAATTGGTTAAATCAATAATAAGAACAAATATATATATATATATATATATATATATATAAAATGTATTCAAATTGAGTCTGATAAGATATAGTTACATGAAGAGTTTTCAGCGCTATAAATACAAATGCAGGCAGACTAAGCTACATCCTGACAACTAGTTAGCTGACTTATAGTGGGGCTAGGGATTATTAGTCATGTAACTAGTTGAAGAGATTTTATATTCAATTCATTGCACGGTAGCAGAATCCATTGCTGAAAGGATACCAAGCACCCTCGGAGACTACCCGCTGGCTATACCAGTGTTTTAAGATGGTTGATTATTTAATTCGGTTTGCTCAGAGCCATGAATCGTTTCGCAAAGCAGAAATCACAGCTCTAGCCAGCTTGGTTGGGGTTGAGATAGAATTTCTAGTTTACCACGATCTTGTATGTGCGTCCCCACGTAAATAATTATAACTAGATAATTATACCAGGGGGATTATGTTCTAATACTAGTGTGCAGACTCCATTCTGCATAGTAAGACTTGCAAATGAAGAAGCTGCCCGTGCTCTCATGCGCCGCAGCATTTTGGCCAAAAACATATATGAACTCTGGGGCCAGGGAGATACCTACGACCTGCTGAGAGCAGATGTACGCCACCGCACAGAGTCCAGATGGCCCGATTATAAGACGGTTTCCTTTAAATTTCACGTGGACACTTATGCATCAACTCGAACAGCAAAGGAGAGGAACGAGATCATCGAGTCCTTTTCATTTTTGGCCTTTGAGGGACCCATAAAGATGGTTGATGCCGACGAGAAATTCTGTGTATTTGAAGAGTTCGCTCACCAACTTGCTTCTTCAGGAAATCCAAAAACACATACTGAGCCGGTACTCAAACGTATCTACCTCGGTCGATGGGTTACAGAGGGTGGCCGGACGGAGATCAACACTTATAACTTGAAGAAACGCAAGTATATCAGTACTACTTCCATGGATGCAGAGCTCAGTTTGATATCCGCCAACATGACGCATGCAGCGCCAGGAAAGTTGTTTTATGACCCCTTTGTGGGAACAGGGAGTTTTCTCGTGGCCGCTGCTCATTTTGGAGCAGTGACCTGCGGATCTGATATTGACGGGCGCAGCTTTCGTGGGAAAGAGGCTACTTCCAACACTGAAACTGGAGTCATAGCGAACTTCAAACAATATGGACTGCTATCCAGATTCCTGGACACATTTACTTCCGATTTGACAAACACACCTCTTCGAAGCACCCGTATATTTGATGGGATTATATGCGACCCACCATATGGTGTACGAGAAGGGCTGAGAGTCCTAGGGCATAAGGATGATAGTCGAAAGGGAGAACTGATGATGTTCCAGGGCGTTCCATCGTACAAGTAAACTTACCCCTTACCCTAACAGAGCATTGGAACAGTTAAAGCTAACTTTGTGAGTCGACAGGAGGGAGAATTACATTTTCCCTAAGCGCCCCTACGCATTTGATGCAATGCTTGATGATATACTTGACTTTGCTGCTCAGACACTAGTGGTCAACGGCAGGATATCGCTATGGATGCCAACTGCGAATGAAGACGACGTTGAGCTTGCAATTCCGAAACATCCCTGCCTTGAACATCTTGATTCTTGTGTGCAGCCTTTTAACAAATGTAAGCCTCCAATTTATATATTTATAAAGCACGGTGTTGCTAACCTTAGTTAGGGTCGCGGCGACTACTTGTGTATAGACGATTGCCCGATAGTGAAGTACCATCTACACCCCGCAGGGAGCGAAAAGAGGTACCAAGAGGGAACGCCGACGAATTAAACCCGTTTAGAAGAAGAGTAAGCCACCAACCTCACAGTTTCTTTTGAAGGCCTTTGCTAATTCAACCTAAGTACTTCGAATCGTTTGCCATGGAAGAGAAAGCTAGCTCATAAATGGCTAATTTCTTCATTGCGTTAGAAAAAAATAAAAAGTACGGGTATTTGTAACTTCTAGAATTCACAACTTGGTCGATCGCAGTATGTGCCCATCCCCTACTCCACAATCACAATCATCCAAATCAACGCCTTCCTCCTCCTTAACTCTCCTTACTTCCCTTGCTAACTCATCCCTCAATAGAACCACTAGCTCCTCCGCCTCATCATCCATAAGCTCATCCCTCTGGCCGCGCCCGAACATGACCCAGCTCCCTCCAGCAGGTGCATCAGCTCCTGTCGCAGGCCTAGGTATGATGTGAAAGTGTACATGAGGAACCGTCTGAGATGCCCGTATACCTAAGATGTTATCAGACATGTGCTTGGCAGACTTCGCTGCAGCTAAAAGCCCTGGAACCCGAAAGGAACAGGCGTGCAAACAAACCATTGTTCTGAATAATGTTCCAATTCCCCTGGTCGTCCCCTCGGCTGTCCTTGCCTTCACCTAGGACGGCTCGAACAATCACTCGAGAGAGTATTGGTAGCCATTGACCAAGCTAGTAGTGAGTCACTTAGTTATCCCGTGCGTAGTATAGTTTGTTATAGTTCCACATAGGTAGCATTGTAAAGGGGGGGAACTAACCTGCTTTGCGTCATGGATGCCAACTTGACGCATATTCTGATAATGCCGTCTAGGAGTAACGAGCACATGTCCCCTCGTTAAAGGCATAATGTCTAAGAATGCAAGGACATGCTTGGTAG